GTGTTCAGGTGAGCAGCTGTCAGTCAGCACCTGTCTGAACCAATCACTGATCAGCTGACTGATTTAAATCTGATTGATTTACTAGTATTTAGTAAAGTACTAAATTATTAGTACTTTACATTGACTGTTTATGGTTGAGTGTGGGCGTGTAGAGGGTAGAACCTGAGGAGGACCTCGTGTTCAAACTCTGATTTTGTCGCTGTGATTTATAAAGGAAAGATGCACAGAAACATGCGTACGTACGGTTTTATAAATCTGAATTTTTTGACCGTATTTTCACTTTTAGTGTGGTTTCACACAATCCTTTATAAATGAGACCCCAGGACTTTGTTCAATGATGAGTGATTTACAGCCTTATTAAGTTCTTCTGTTGTGATGTTGTTGTCACAAATTTGTTTGTAATTATCTTCTATTTTAGGGATAAACGTTTCAGTTTGGTTAAGAAAAGCGTGACATTTTTGTTCAGAGTATTTAGAGGTATATAAGTTGTTACAGAATGTAAAGATCTCTGTTGATTTTATCTTTTCATTTTTAGTTTCTACATTATTTATCATCAGGGATTTAATTGTATTTTGTTGTTGTTTTCTGTGTTTTTCTCCTCCTCATCAGTCCTTCTGGCTCCTGATCTGAGAAAGGCTCCTTGGTCTTTTGGACACATTTCATCCAGTTTCAGTTGGAGCGTTGATATTTGTTGTTTATCTTCTACTGAGGGATTGGGTATATTGCAATATATATTCAGTTGTATAATTTTCAGTTCTTCTTCCTGATATTTTTTTATTTGTTTGCTGAATGAAATAGAAATTTGTCTAATTTTGTATTTTAGGTATTCCYATTTTTGGGTTGGTCTATTTAATTCTTCAGAGTCCTTCATATTTAGAATTAATTCTTTGATTTTCTGGCAGTATGTGTCATTTTGAAGAAGACTGGAGTTAAATTTCCAGTACTTATTTGAGCCTGGCTTCCAGTTTTGGGGTTTTAATTGTAAAGAAATAAAACTACGGTCGGTCAGAGGTGCAACAGAAATATCTGAATTAATGTMATTGTCCAATAATTCATTTGTTACAAGCAGTGATCAATTCTTGATTTGTTATTTGAGCTGAAGCATGAAAACTTTATTAGATCAGGATTAAAATGACGCCAAACATCAACTAGGTTTTGTTCATTGCAAAAATTGTTGAAGGTTGTGTTTGGGTAGCTTGAGTCATGTTTACAAGGCCATTTTTCATAAACTTCCTCTTGAACAAGGTTGAGATCTCCTCCAATCATAACGTCGTTTGTTGAGTGAGTCGRTTTAAGTGCTCTAAATGTTGGGCTATTTCTTCTAGCAGTGATTTGTTTTGGTTTAGGTTATTATAACCAAATRTATTTAACAAGAAAAGTGTTAAATTATCTAAACAAACTAAAGAATAACCAGTGACCATGTTCATCCATTTTACTTGAAATGAGCTCACCCTGGGAATTTTTTAAAGAAAAGCGACACCTGCTGGTGTTTAGGAGCCACGACAAAAATAAGCATCATCTCCCCATTGGTTAGACCAGGGGTCTGCAAGCTGTGGCTCTGGGGCCATGTGTGGCTCTTTGGTCCCTCTGCAGTTGTTCTTTGAATATGTGACCGAACAGAACCGAATCAACAACAGAGATCAGTTTATATACAAATATGTGATAGGTACTACTAATACAAATATGTGATAGGTACTACTAATACAAATATGTGATAGGTACTACTAATACAAATATGTGATAGGTACTACTAATACAAATATGTGATAGGTACTACTAATACAA